TCCCTGCTCGCTTCAGTGCGCCTGGCTGCGCCGCCATCTTGGCTGACTGTTAATTTGCATATACTCACTGATTAGCCAATGAAAAGGGTAGCGGTCATACGCCAATTACCATGTTTCTCTTTTATTAGTGTAGATGTATCTTTCTTGTTAAAAGTATTACAGAAGACCCCCCCTTACGCCCCCCATTGACCCCCTCTACCCCACTTCTACCCCCTCCCCAGGCCTTCACCACACTATTGTCTGTGTCCATGGGGAGTCTGTGCACTTAAAATGTTAATAGGTACTGCCCAATTACCCTTCAAAATCGCTGTATCGATTTATATTTCCACTAACAGTGCATGAGGGCGCCAGTGTCCCCTACGGCTGTGAAACCACATTATGCCATTTTCCAACACATTAATCGGTCAGAACAGCTACTCCTATTGAGGACGTGTGTAATGATGCAAGGAGCTCTGAAGGGGAAAGATAAGTCAGTGAATGTTGGGGTTCCCAGGGGCCATCCAGGAGAGCAGGGTCAGTGGGTATAGGAAAAGGGAGGACCACATGGAGGAGAGGGTACAGAAATGGGAGGGTGGCATGGAAGACACGTTCCACCAGGGACAGTAGTCTGCTGAACACGCTTGGGTAGAAAAACACTGAGCAAGGTGTCGCAATTCTATTTTCTGGGAAGAGGAGGCCACATGTTTTGGCAACACGTTCCATTTGGTGGTTTTGCTAATGGACAGAGTGCCCTTTGATCTGCCAGGCCTGGTGCTGCTGTCATTGGACAAATGCGTAGCTCAGAGCAGGGGGCAAGCTGGATTTAGCAACTACATGATCCAGATTTTCTGCCCCAACTTTGTTTCAAATATCCTGTCCCCTTGTGAATCAGTGTGTTCTGATCACAATCAGATTCTGATTTGTGAAAGGGGGAACTTTATCCAGACGTCCCACCCACCCCGACTGTGACCAGAAGGGCCTGGTTGCATGTGACTTTCCTCAGGTAGCTGAGAATCTGACCTCCTGAAAGTCCTTTTTATTTGCAGTCAGCCTCTTTCCTCTTCCCATTTGTGCTCAGAAACAAAGATTATGCTGCACAAATTAGCCCAGAGCTGTGTGAAGACCCAGCAAATTCTGCCCTTCACCCCATCCTCCATGCCAACTTTTGAAGCTCAAGGTTTTGTAAAATTTAATGTGCATTAAATGGCTTACAATGAATCATCGGCCACCTTAGCCAAGTAGATTTTCTTAAAGGTGCTTAGCCTTTTGTCTTTTTAAACATTATAAAATGCATTTGGACAATCAATAGAATCCTGGCAAATAAATTACGGTACATTGTGTAGTTATTAAAAAGAACAGGGCAGCTCTAACTGAATTTATATAGAACAATCTCCAAGATATACTAAGTGAAAAAAAATGGAAGGTGTCAATTAATGAATATAGTATGTACCATTTGTAGAAATAGAAAAGTACGTACGAGTTGTGGATATCTCTAGAAGGTGAAACATGATATTGATAACAGTGGTTGCCTCTGGAAAGCAGAACAGGGGGGGAGGGGGCTGAGGTTTGGCAGTAGGAGGGGGTTGTACATTTCAAATTATTGGTCATACTAGAGGCCCGATGCACGAATTCGTGCACAGGTGGGGTCCCTCGGCCTGGCTGGCAATTGGGGCCTATGGGGGCCGGCAGGCGGGGGAGGGGCTGCGGGAGGGCTCCAGGGCATGTCCAGCTCTCTCACCCAGTCCCGATCAGCTGGACCACAGCAGCAAGCTAACCTAAGGTCAGAGCATCTGCCCCCTGGTGGTCAGTGCACAACATAGCAACTGGTCAAGCAGTCGACTGAATGGTTGACCAATCGGTCAGACACTTAGCATATTATGCTTTATTATATAGGATATTACCTATGAACAAAAAATAAAATTCAAAAGAACTTTAAAAAGTAAAACTAAAATTTTGAAAACTTTAAAAGTCCCACCTAAAGATGCAGGACAGGTGGATAGAAGGAAGTCAGTTTTTAACATGCAGTTTTGCTCTGCAATGGCACACGGCCCTCTGTGTTTTCACCTGCAGGCCTGCCGCTGACGGTGTCCAATGAGAGTTTCGTCTTCGATAACGTCACCATCTCCCTGATGTGGCTCGTCTCTCCCTACACTGGAAACCTGTCCGGTGTCATTATCACGGGGGATGGCCACACTTTTGATCCCTACTACCCCCCCAGGTAAGAGGAATCTCTGAGCCTTGATTCAGGATGTTATCAAGTCAATTTTTGCTGCATAACAAAACATCCCAAAACTTATAATAGTATTTATTATTTGGCATGCGTCCAGTGGTCAGCTGATCGTCAGCAAGGAGCATGTGTTGCTCATCACCCAATAGGCCAGCTCAGGCTCACTCGAGTGGTGGCAGAAGAGTCTCTAGCAGCAAGTGAGAGCAAGGCCCAATGTGCAGGCATATTTCAAATCTACTTGGGTCACATTTTATATATATATATATTTTTTTTTTATTGATTTTTTTACAGAGAGGAAGGGAGAGAGAGAGTTAGAAACATCGATGAGAGAGAAACATCGATCAGCTACCTCCTGCACATCTCCTACTGGGGATGTGCCCACAACCCAGGTACATGCCCTTGACTGGAATTGAACCTGGGACCTTTCAGTCCGCAGGCCGACGCTCTATCCACTGAGCCAAACCGGTTTCGGCTTGGGTCACATTTTTTAATGACCCATTGGCCAAAGCGAGTTTCATGGCCACGCCCAGATTCAACAGGTAGAGAAACAGACTATACCTGTTGATGGAAGAAATAGCAGAGCCATAGCACAAAGGGGCACGCATATGGGAATGGGAGAAATGGATGCTCACCTGTTTCTCATTATGGAAGCCACACGAACGGGCACGCAGAGCTGGTCCTTTTGGCTTGGCGCTGTGTAGAGTCTCTCCAGGGTCACTGTCTGAGGAGTCGGTAATGGGGTAAAGAAGATGCTCACCTGGGAGTGCTTTTCATTGGTAAGGATTATAAAAGTAATAGTAACAATATTCATAATAGTCCAGCCAGGCAGCTTCACACATAATCTCACTAGAGCTGTGCTGTCTAATGTAACAGCTGCTCACCATGTGAGCTACTGAGCACGTGACATGTGGCTGTTCTCAGTTAAGATGGGCTGTAAATGTAAAGTACACATGGGATTTTCAAGACTGAGTTCCCCCATCTGCCCAAAATGAATGTAAATATCTCACTAACAATTTTTTTCTCACTAATCATTTTTATATTGATTACACATTGAAATGATAGTACTTTGGATGTATTGGGTTAAAGAAAATAAATTAAAATTAACTTCACCTGTTTCTTACTTTTTTCAGTGTGGTTATTAGAAAATTTAAAATTACACATGTGGCTCCTACTATTTGTATTGGATGGTGCTGAGCTAGATAATCATTATCTTGTTTTCACAAAGGTACAGTGGTGTTGCCCAAGCCACACAACGCTGTGATGCAGTCAGGACTGTCTAGCCTTGAAGGGAGCTCAGGCTCTGAGGTCCCTGGTGGATTATATAGCGCATTGTATCTGGGCCTGAGAGCACTGCC